GCCATATAGGTGACGATTGACCAACTTGACTCTTATTGTTTTTATGACCCTTTTTTAAAATATGTATTTGACCTTGATTACATTTATGGTTTTTCTGTTGCTAATAAGTTTTTGAGGGTAAAATGTTAAGAAGATGTCCATAAACTATGAACACGATCATGATTGCTTTTTAGATTATCACCTATCGCAATGTTATGTCTTCGTTCACCATGAGATTGCAATGGTGTACTCCACCTTAGAATTCTTAGGATTATTTAGTATTTTTTTGAATAGTTAAGAATTCCAAACAAAACTATGTGTTCAATGGTGTTTCCGAAGATGGAGTTCTTAGGAATAAAAAATAAAATTTTTATTTAAAAAATTTAAGTGAAATTAAAATATTATTAATTGTATAATTAAAAATAAAGATACAATGATTAAAAATAAAGATACACTAATTATTAATCTTCTCTAACTTAGCTTCCTTCTAGTCACTCTCAAAGAATTGATCCTTCAGCAGCCTAAGTTATGTCTGCATGTCACGCATCTCTTCCATAATCGCAAAACCCCACCATTTCCAGATGTGGCAGTCTCCATTGGCAACGTTGTCACACGTGAAGTATCTTGTGCATGGATCTTTATGAGTGTATGAGGTTTGAACAACATGCTCACAACCGCAATAGCATGTCCTCAGGATTCCTTCATCAGCCTCAGGTGTACTCCACCTTAGAATCCTTAGGATTATTTTAGTATTTTTTTGAATAGTTAAGGATTCCAAGCAAAACTATGTGTCCAATGGTGTTCCCGAAGATAGAATTCTTAGGAATAAAAAAATAATATTTAAAAAAAATAATTAAAATTAAAATTTTATTAATTGCATGAGTAAAAATAAAGATACAATGAATAAAAATAAAGATACATTAATTATTAATCTTCTCTAGATTAGCCACCTTCTGGTCACTCTCAAAGAATTGATCACTTAGCATCCTAAGTTGTGTCCACATCTCTTCCATAATCATCACATCCCACCATTTCCAGATGTGGCAATCTCCATCGATAACGTTGTCGCACGTGAAGTACCTTCTGCCTGGATCTTTATGAGTGTATGAGGTTTGAACAACAGGCTCACAACCGCAATAGCATGTCCTCGGGATTCCTTCATCAGCCTCAGGTTGCAGTTGGTACTGAACCGCCTCTGCAATAGTACCTACTGTCAGCTTCATCCCTGTAGAGATCAGCTTCTGCTTGAAGTAAAGACGTCATGTCAAACTCCTCTGATGAAGAAGGTTGAGTGTAGCTATAGTCTTGTCCCATGGTTCGTTGACCTGCAAAAAAAAACAGATGCTATGTAAGCGACGAAGAAATACTAAATATTAAGAACACATAGAAACAAAAGAACACATAGCAAGAAGTAGAACTAAACAGTTTACGAATCAGAAAACAAAATAAGCAACTTAACAGTTTACTAGCTACACATAAATAGTTTTCGAGCTAAACAGAAAACAAGATAAGCAACACCAAACCATACAGATACGTTTTGTATAAAGCAAACACATATAAACCCGAGTATAAGAAAACAAATGGACGTTGAAATCGATTGAAAACAAAATTGTGTTTTGAAATCGTAATAAGAACAAACAACAAGATCCCTAAATAGATTGAAACCGAAAACGTATTGAAACCCTAAGCAAGCACATATAAACTCGAGTATAAGAAAACAAATCGACGCTGAAATCGAGTGAAAACAAAATGGTGTTTCGAAACTATAATAAGAACAAACAAGAAGATCACTAAATCGATTGAAACCGAAAACGTATTGAAACCCTAACTACAAACCAAAAGATCCCCAAAGCAATTGAAAACCCAAATATTTTAGAAATCCCCAATCGATTCAAACCGAAAACGGTTTGAAACCCTAACTACAAACCATAAAATCCTCAAATCAATTGAAAACCTGAAAATTTTTGAAACCCTAAATCGAATAAATCCTCAAATCGATTCAAACGGAAAAACAAAGCATATAGGGAGACGAGAACAACAAGAAACCTAATCTAATCCTTATATCTACTACAGAAGAATACGATTTACCTTTGAAAATCATGGAAGCATCTACAATGGATCGAAATCTCCTTTTCGTCTCGAGCTCTGATTTTTTTCTTTTCTTCGGTCGCGAATAAATTTTTTTTCGCAATCAAACACAAAAGCTCCTATCCTCTTCTGACACATGGACTAAGGTTCAAGTCCTTCATATCCTTATTTACGGACTGATCCGTAGTTATACTAACCAAAATATTAAAATTATATTTCATTAATCCTAAGATTATGTTCTAAGGATTCCTCTTAGACCGCCGATGCATTTGCTCTAAGATGGTAACTACGAAGGAAATGTGTCTAGTTTTTTTCTCGTTAATTTGTCAACTATAATATTTGTTAATAAGTTTTCATGCTGAACCGACGAAGAACACGCCATTATCATTGTTTATCCTCTTTCTCAAATTTTACACTCTTACGTTCCAAATCACAAATGATTTGATTAAAGCTGTTAATATTTAGACCAAGATCTATGCTTTCATGCAGCTTAGTCCTTACATTTATTTTAGATATAATTTCATAGACACAGATCCATCCCTGAACAATTATAGACTGGAAAAAAAATTAGACTACTTACGTATAAAAATAGAAAAATAAGTTGGCTATATTTGAACTTAACATCACAAACACGCCAACACTAACCATAAACTAAATATTCTACTGAAGATATTTTTATAAGAAATTGAAATATTTGATATTCTAAATGAGGTCGAAAACACATGTTTCCTTGACTTGTACTCAGGACCACTATTTCAAAAACATATTTTTCAATTTGGCATATACTTATCCCTTAGAGGACATTGGTAACATTAGAAGGAAATATAGAAGATTATCATGATCCCTGCACACAGATGACATGCACAAATAGAGTAACGACCCAATTTTTTTCTTAATCAAAAAAGTTGCCCTACACTTTTTTACATGTTGTAAAATTCATTATATATTTGTAATCTTTCTAAGATACAAAATGAATCGTCCTTCAAACAGCTTGACAAATTTAAATATATATTTCAAATATCTATGCATAAATGATTTTTTGTGCATGAAAAAAAATCAGTTTTAAATAACAATATGCCGCTATATGTAATCTATTAGACAATATAAAAAGAAGAAGAAAATTAAGAGAAATATATAGATTAAGATTAAACTAAACTCGATTAAATTTGAGAATTCAATTAAATTTCACTATTTTCTCGGTTTTATAATAATCTTGTGAGTTAATATAACTAATTTATTTTTTTGTTTTCAAGATAAAGGTAAGCTGTGCATTGCACGGCAGTAAAAATAAAACATATATAGCAGTAAGTAGAATCAGTCAAACTTCATCAACTCTAGGATAGTAAGTGAAAAGGAACTTGAGGCTAAGAAAATGAAAAAGAACAACAAATTTAAAAGTTAATGTTGGCCACTAAGCTTAACTATGATTATGAATCCCACCTTTACTACTGCAAAACACTCATACTGCTCATTTACTAGACCACCCCTTATCTCTCTATAATAGATTAGGCTTTTGGGTAATTTCCCAGCTTGTTATTTGTTTCACCATTGACTCGTGTGGACATATTTCAAAACTAGATCAAAAGCTAACATTATTCTTTAGAGGTGTGTGAACGTATTGATTCAATATACGAGAAAAATAAACACGCAATACCAATACTTCTTAGGTTTGCAGCTGTTTATGTTATTAAAAATTGTCGGCAAATCTTACAAAGAAATAGATTGTCAAAGACACTAACCGGATCCAAAAAATTTTGGCAAAAATTGTATTGCTAGTTAAACCGAATAAGTTATAACAAATCCGACAAAAAAATTATAATAAATCCAATCACAATAAACACAACTCACTTGTTACGCAAAACTAAATCACAAATATTTTTAGTTATTTAATTAACACATGTATGATTTCATTAACCATTTAAATGTCTAAAAAACTATCCATGAATTGCATTTCCACTTAAATTAGTCTTGACTTCTCTATAGTTTTGATATATCCTCAAATTAATCAAAAATAAAAAATAAACACATCTCAAAGAGAGCTGATTCTCTTGTAACTTTTTTTTTGTATAAAAATATACAAGTAATCGAACATTAATATGGTGGCAAATAAAACTTTGAAAACAAAATCACTTCCAGTTGTCTTAAAAGCAAAATAATAGTACTAGAAATAATAAAGAAAACATTATTTTTATTTACATTTCAGTATTTTATATTGGCCAGAAAATTACATAAATATTGATAGAAATTTTTTAAATTTGAGAAAGATCATCTATATTATTTCAAAATTTTGGCAAACCTTATTAAACCGAATTTTATTTTTATTTTTTGGACACCAAACCGAAACTAATCGGTTTATTTTAATCATCCGATCAATAATTATTTTTGTTTATAAAACTTAGGATTCTGTAGAAGTCCAACCTAACAACAAATCTAAAACCATCTGATTGGTGAGGATCTAAGGTTCGTAGATTCAGGTAACATGCTGTTTAAAGTAATGTACAGTCTCAAATCTGAGATACATACATTTGTATAAGAAAAGTATACTTAACTAAAAAATAGAAAGAAAAATAATATATATCACATCCATGCAGGCTAACGTTCAGTTGACTAGCAGCAAAATAAAGCAGATAATAAATTCTCCATTAATTACATTTCATTAAAAACAAAAACCCCACTCACCCCTCTTTCTCTCTCTCCTCACTTCCCCCTTCTCTCTCTCTTCTCCCTCTGCAAAAACCCTAATTTCACTCCGATTTCGCCTTCCTCAACTTCCATTAACCTCGTCATTCGCTTACCAAGCACAAACCCACTTTAGGGTTTTCACTGATCGTAAGAAGAAGAAGCCGAATCATGGAAACGAAACCCTAAAAATCGAACCTTTGATCTCTCCGAAGAACAGTTTTTTTTTGTTTCTAATTTTGGAGGGGAAAAAAATGTATAAGAATCAGTTACAGGAGCTAGCGCAGAGGAGCTGCTTCAATCTCCCTTCGTACACTTGTTTAAGAGAAGGTCCTGACCACGCGCCGCGATTCAAGGCCACCGTTAACTTTAACGGCGAGATCTTTGAGAGTCCTCAGTACTGTTCTACTCTCCGTCAAGCTGAGCACTCTGCTGCTGAAGTTGCTCTTGGTGCTCTTTCTAATCGTGGCCCTTCTCACTCTTTAGCCGCTAGGATCTTGGTTAGTGTTCACTCTCTCTCTTCCACTTAGGGCTTTGAGCTGTGGATTTTGAATTTGCATGTGAGTGATGGGTTTGGTTTGGTTAGGTTATTAGGGATCTGGGTTATCACTAGAACATCTAAAGTTTGAATCTTGTTCTTGGCCGTTGATGTATTTGATTGATTTGAATTTGGATGCATGCTTCCTTGTCTTGAACGTTGTGGAGCACTTTTTGGTCTGATGCTTTTGTTTGTTGTATGGCTGATTCTGTAGGATGAGACGGGTGTGTACAAGAATCTATTGCAGGAAATAGCTCAGAGAGTAGGAGCTCCTCTACCGAGATACACAACATTCAGGTCTGGTCTTGGACACCAGCCTGTGTTTACTGGTACTGTGGAGTTAGCTGGTATCACATTCACTGGAGATCCGGCTAAGAACAAGAAGCAAGCAGAGAAGAATGCTGCTATGGCTGCTTGGTCTTCCCTTAAACAATGTGAGTCCTCTTTCCTCACCTGATTTTCTTCAGTTTTTGTATGACCATACTGACATTGTATGTTCTTGTATTGGTAACAGTGGCGAAAGAAACTTCAAGCACAATGCCTGAGCCTGAGAACATTGATGAACTAGAGCAGGTGATTATAGCAAGAGCCTTGATAAATTATCGTATCAAGGAAAATATTGGCACGGGGAGTTCCTCGAGTGCCCCTGTTCCATTTGCAAAGAAGTTTTTCACGCAAAGCCCTAGACCAACTAGTCCACAGCCTTCTCGTGCAGCCACATCGAGAATCTTGCCTTTCATTTGCCCGCAACCTTCTTCTAGAAACAGATCAGTATCAGCAACTTCCGTGGAAAGAGCCATAGCATCTGCTTTGGAAAACCGCAACTACCGACCTCAGCAGAGATTTGCAACTCCAGGAACAGCAGGAGCTCCACCTCCTCCTTATGTTCCGATGAGGCATTTAAGATCGCCGTGCCACCGTGGTATGGCTCCACCGGTCACGATCAGAACCTCTGTACCAGTCTTCTCTGCACCTCCAAGGCCTCCTCCACCTAATGCAAACACTCAGCAGCAGCTACCTCCTGTGTATGTCCCATCCATGATGCGTACTGCTGCACCCGTGAGAATCGCGCCACCTGTGACAATCAGAACCTCGGTGCCTGTTTTTGCTTCTGCACCACAGATTAGAAAGGAAGAGCCTTTACCTGTTAGGAAAGTGAATATCCAAAACCCTGCCAAGTCCATGACTGAAGTAGCTGAAACCCCAGTCCAAGTAAAAGAGGAAAGAACAGCTCTAGTCTTGCCTGATAGTCTTGAAATTGAAGAAGAGGGAAGTGCTAAACCAGTTTCAGAGAATGCAAAGGAGACAGAGAGAGCAGCTTTGAAGGACATGAGAGGAGAGCCGGAAACAGCAAGAGAGCGGCTGGAGAATCTCAAGATCTGGTAGTAAATTTCTTGGTATCTGCAAGTTTGTAACTTAAGTAATGAGAAGGGATTTGTATTATATTGCTGGGGAGTTTTGAGGAGGGTATGTGGGCTTGTGGATCTTTGGATTCTAGATTTGTATCTGTTTCACTTCCTTATTCAGTCTGTTTGTGTCCTCTCTTATTATTTTGTTGCTTTCACTTACACAAATCTCGTCATCAAGTTACCAACTATGAAAGTTAATTCAGTCTGCAAGACTGCAACCATTTGGCATAGTAAGTTTCAATCCATCTTTGTCAGTGTTACAACAACAAAACAAAACAAGGTACTGGGGTTTTGAAGATAGTTAAATACAAATCCAAACAAGAAAGAAGAAAAAACCAGTCACTATGTACATAGGGTGAAAAAAGAACTCTGTGGAGCAGAGCATCTTCAGTCTTGTGTTTTTATTTTTCAACGGTGGGATGATGAAGCGAGAGACCAGAAGTTGAAGAGAAAAGAAGGGAGAGCAGCAAACCAGCTAATGAAGGCTAACGCTGTTGATGTTTCAAACTGAACACAATGGTTTGCCGCGCAGCTATTCAGATCGTTGTCTATCAGAACCGTTATTCCTGCTGATGCACAAGCTGCTGCAAATGTCAGCGTCGATGTCACCTGAAAAAAAAAGGATTTGCTTATTTATCCATCTTTACTCAAACAAATTTTGAGAGGCTTAATAAGGAGTGTGGTTTAACTCACTCACCCCATCACCAATTGCAAACAAGCTAACGAGACGACGGTTCTGTAGAGAACGTTTGACCATAATGGCATAAACATCAACAGTGGCTAGTGAAAGACTCCACAAACTCTGCAGGCCAGTGGCTGCAACTAGGTAACTGATGAAAAAAAAACCCATCTTTAGCAATAATAACACTCACCAAACAAAACTTGCTTTAAATATTTAATCAATACAAATATAAATCAATATGGTACCAATAACGTGTAACTGATTCAACTATCACATTCTATCCAAAGCTAAGTTCTTCTACAAAGATTCATTTTATCTTTAAAGCTTGCAGCAATAATCTAACTATCACAAAAATTGCTTTAATCAAATTTAGAATACATATATAACTGAATATACTACCAATAACTGATTAAACTATCACACACTTCGTCTAAAGATTAGTTATGCTAATTAATCTGGACTCTAGGGAATTTGCAGCAGAAGATTCATAGAAAACATACAACAACGGCCATCACCAACAAAAACAGAGTGGCCGCAAGATATAATAAGCTTCATCAAGGTATTAAAATTTCAAAGATAGTTCCTGTAAATTAATGATTCTTGTTACTAGGATATAGCAGGTACCTCGCATAACTGGATACAAATATTAATATCCCCACACACTTTTGTTTCAGAAAGTGTCAGTTAACATTAAGCCACAAGACAAAAGAGGTAATTGTAGTTTTTACCAGAAGGCGGTGACGGAAGGGAAATCGCTGGTGGTGGCCATGACGGAGAGAGAAGCAGCAGCGAAGAAGAACTGGAAGAAACGAAGAGAGAGGCCGAGTAGCGTTGCAGGCATCCCTTGAATATCTTCCATCCTCACACGTGGCGGTTGATCTGCTTGGGTAGCTGCTGGAGCTGGAGGAGGAGCTTCCACCGGGTGAACCGATGCATTGCTCACACTCATCTGCCACCAGACTATAGTTTGCTTTTTTGATATAGATTTTAAGACGAGAAAAGGTTCGACTAGATCGAGGGAGAAATCGAGATCCAATTATAAAAGAAAGAAAGAAAGAGAAACCACTAGAGAGTTACCTGAGAAAGAGAGAGAATCGAATTAAGCAGAGAGGAGGAAGAAATCCATGGAGTTATGCAAACCCTAAGCTGACACAGAGGTTAGTGGTGGTGGAAGAGTAAAGGTTTATGCCATAGTGTGTTGTTATTTCTTACTTGTCTTGTCCTCTTACTGTTTTGAACCCAACCGAATATATAACCGAACCGGACTAAACCAAACTTTTCTCTCTGCCTCCCATCCCATTTCTCTCTCGAAATCACACATAATTTGACTGATCGATTTCACCCAAAAAAATCGCCACTCCTCCTCCATTCACTGATTCATTGGACGTTTAAATCACGTGAGATTTATATCATTGCTTCTGATTTGCGTTTGCTTCTGCTTGTCTATCGATAGTGTTGTTAACATTACTAAACAAATGTATGATTTTGTTGCAGCTTTTGCACACTTCCAATTTGGAATTTATTCGGATAATAGGATGTAATATTTTCTTGATCAAAAAAAAAAAGGATGTAATATTTTCATTTTGTATTGTTAGGTGGAATCGATACTAGACAAGAAGAGAGAGAGTTTCACACTGGAATGCAAAGCTTTGAATAGCCGTTTCATTCACTTGTACTATTCTCCGACACATCATCATTCACATTTCTTTCGTAACGTTTTCTGAGTTTATTGGTGTGTTTGCAGTCTAAGGGATAGAGCTTGAGTGGAGCAAAACTCTTGCGGTATGTTTTGTCTGCACTCACCTCTGGAGAACGATGCTGATACCAAACAAGTCATATCTGCTTAGATACTTTTTTTTCGTCCAGCTACTGATGGATTCTTCTTAGGTTTCCATTCATTTCTTGCACATGTGAGATTGATGTTATTCTTAAGACGTTGGTGGAGGCCGACCAGGTATGTTTTGCCTTTTGCTCAAAGTAATTCCGTTTTTTTTTTTTTTAAATTTGGATTTGATATATTTTTCTATCTTGCAGCTAATGGGTTTGCTATTCGCCTTTCTGGAACTGGATCGTCCTCATAGTGCGTTGCTGGCAGGCTATTTCGGCAAGATCTCACTATCTTTTTTTAACAAGTATGTGTAAAGGACCAACTGATTTTAAGGTCTGCCATATGTGTTCTTATGCCTCGTTATTTGATTTAGGTTGTCATGTGTTATGATCAGAAAGACAGCACCACACTTATGAATTATATAAATGTAAGTGACTCCCCTTTTATCTTAGAATGCCTCGTAGTTTTTCTCTTTCCTTGCATCAATGATTATATCATCTTTAAGGAAATTATAATGGAATTTCTCTGCAATTAGGTGTTATGTAAAAGAAGGCTTTCGTTCTGGCTTCTCGGTAGATTTTCATTATCTATTTTAACCTTTAAATGGTGGCTGTTTCTATTGTATGTTCAACCACAAGAAATGCACCTTCAGCTTTAGCTTCAAAATGCCCTGGATTTGTCATCTTTGCACTCATCATATTTGAGTTTCACTGGTTTCTGCGGATATATGCAATATTCTGACATGGTAAAACGTCTATCTTCTTTCTGCAGCTTCGTTTCTAAAGATATTTGGTCATGCTATAGAAGATTCACACTCAGAATATCGCCTAGTTTATTCACTTACTGTATGCATCATCTCTCTGTTAGATTCGCGGAGATCTGCTGCTTCATCGCATTTCTTCAATTCTTTTAGAGGTCAGCATATGTTTGAGTCTCCTCCTCCAGTGACCCCGGAGACCATTGGTGCCATGCTACCAAAGCTCGTTTCCCATGCTATTCTATACATCTCCTCATTTAAACATCAATTAGTCCTTTTGTTTCTTCTTCTTTTATAATAATTTGTGCTGGATGCACATGAAGTAATCTAAATGGACACCGCTCACCTTTTTGTGATTATTTGTCCAGTTTCTTCTTACTCATCACTCAGTTGTACATTATTTGCTCTGTTCCACTTTAGTTCATGTAGACAATGTGATATTGAAGTTCATTAGTTCTATAGCCTTTAATATTACTTTCTACACTAGTTTGATATTGTTTGAGATTGCTACCTATGAAAAGAGGATCAATAAGATATTGTTTGTTTAAATTTCTGAACCAAAATATATTTTTTTGTTATATTATAAAAATATGTAAAGCTTTTCCGCATAAATTAAAATATCTGTTTTTAAATACCCAACCTACAAAATTGTTTTAATTGAAAAGCCAATAAATAAGATTTGTATTGTTCAACAGACTTTTAGTTTAACGATTTTAGAAATATTCTTATTTATTCATTTCCTGTTTTTGCTCTTTTTATATGTAGAATATATTGATTACATTCCATCTTTCTGGAAATAGTTTAAGAAGTTTGCTCACAATCTATATAATAATAATACACTTTTGAAACTCCTCAGCAGCGTGTACACGTCAACAAATTTGCGGGTCCCGCACGTGTTATTAGGGAAAACAAAAACGTATAACATTTTGTAAGATTAAATGTTATTGATGAGTGATGAAATGGCCCAGTGGTATAAGTTGGTGACGAGAAGTTGGTATCACGAGTGCGCGGGTTCAAAACGTAGTGCTTGCATGTAATTGTTTTTTGTAATTTGGGCTTTTCAGAATACTTAAAAGCTTAGGGAGATTCAGAATGATTTTTTTATGCTGGTTGTTGGGATACAAAATGACTTAATGATTTGAAACTTTATGAGACCATCTTAGAAACTCTTATAAGAAAGGTTATCATGTTCTAACCTCCAGTATCATTTCAATTCAATTATAATCATCAAATAAAATAAAAACATATTTTTACAATAATAAATATTTACCCCAAACCATTCAGATCGGCCATAAATCTCATATACATCACAATTAAAAATATATATATATATATATATACAACATAATTTCAGAAAGAAAATTACACTAATAAACACATGTCTTTTTTTTTATTGTCTCCATTAAATCATTTTTTACATGAAATCACTAATAACAGTAATGCTTGATAAAATCATTAATAAAGGGAATGCTCGATAAATCACTATGAAGATAAAATATAAAAATATCAACCCATATGAATTCGATGTTTATTCTTTTATCAGACTAATCAAGTTGTGTGACTTCTAATGTTTCATTCATCAACATTACAGATAAGCCATTAAACAAATGTTAAAAAAAAACAGCAAAGTCTCATACACAAAACTACACAATACATCAACAACGTATCCAACCCCCCGCTTGCGCGGAGACTATGCATCTAGTTTATTCTAGGGCAGGGCAAAAAATCTGAACCCAAAAAACTGAACCAAATCCGATATGAAAAAATAGTACCGAATCTGTACCAAAACTGATTAAATATCTGAACAGATTCACAATTTTGGTATCTAGAGAACCAAACTGAATCCGATCCAAACCAAATTATTTCGGGTACCAGAATTAATATATCCGAATCAGATTTATATAGGTGCATATAAGGGTTATTTTTAGATTTAATATTCAAAATATATCCAAAATATTTGAAAATGTATACAAACAGACAAAAATAAATATCTAACATAGTTAAATAATACTAAAAACACCAAAAAAATAATTAAAACATCTATTGAATTTTCATCTAAATATTCAAACTAAACCAATTTCTATGTTAAATTTAGATATTTTGGCATACACTACTCAAAACTATATGTTATTATTATTTTTATTTTATATTTTAGAAAAGTTAAAGTATATATGAATGTTAATTTTTTAAAAATAATTTAAATAGGTTATCCGATCCGAATCCGCAAAGCTTTAAACCAAACATGAACTGAAATTTATAAATATCCGACGGGACTGAAATCTTTAACTCCGAAAATCCAAAATCCAAATGAACCCAAACCAAATCTGAATGTACCCAAACTGAACCCGAATGGGTACCCAGATGCTCACCCCTTTTATTCAATTAATTAAAGAAGTTAATCATTAAGACTCCGCAATATTTTTGCATCCAATATTACATAATAATAATAATAATAATAATAATAATAATAATTTTAATATATTAACATCCCATTTAACTTTCACATAAATCGATAACAAAATTCTAAACTCATTTAATTTCCTTATAATTAATTCCAATAACTACCAATATACACTAAAAACTAAAAATAAATAGTGTTCGGACTACATTTTTTATAATTGATCCATGTGTTGTCTATGACTGTATTTATAATTGATTGAATAATAGAAAACAATGTTCAATCGACAGTGGTGCAAACAAATTTGTAAAAAAAAAAACAGTTTACATCTTCATTTTAGTTTCTTTACATCACTTTTTAAAACTATATTTTTATCTTTTAATATTTTTTTTAAAGAGATATAGTTTCTTTACTACTACCGATCTATAACGATCTATTAACCAAAAATAGCTATCTAAATATCATTTAGACTATTTTTTTTTTCAAAATGACATCAATCTATACAATTTACCTTTATCATACAAAAGTATGAAATTAACAGATATTTAGAACTGGGTATATATTGTTGAGATATACCGGTTTTCTGAAATTAAAATATAAAGTCATTCAATAACAAAAAAAAAAGTAAAAGTCAGAAAATGTAGCTATCATAATTAGAATAAAGATATAGAAAAATCTATATCCATATTAAGACCCACGAGTTCGAATTAAACTCAAAATTTTATCGGATTTCTAACTTGTTATTTGAACCAAACAAAGAATCAAAATAACAAAACCCAAGCAAATCAAACCAAATTTATATATAAATTAACTATTACTATATTTGTTCAACCGAAAATCAAAACCCACATAACTAAACCAAATTAAAAAAAAAATATTATTAAATCATAAAATTTTAATAAATAAATTATAAATAATCTCGCGCAATCGCACGGGTTAAAATCTAATTGTTATCATTGAAATACT